AATCAACGCATAAAGGCAGTTCGCGGTATGGCCGTCTAAAACCGCCGCGCACGATAAACACACTTAATAAACTTAATTAATTCATTAAACCGCTTTTATCGTTAGATTATATGTTGCTCCTTCGTAAAAAAAAGGAGGTTAATGATTATGCGTATCAAGACGAGATCGCGATTATACTAATTGAGAAGAGAATTATCTTCCCTAATCTTATACCTCAATTAACTCAATTAATTTGTCATCAACATTCTTTCATTTCCGCGGCCCAGAGGCCCACACTTTCGATATTAAAATTGAGAGATTGCGATAAATAATGAGCTCCGATTTGAAAAAGCGGCCGACGGATAACGCAAACCTGTACCGGGAAACGTCCAATCCATCCGCGCAACAATACAGTCATTTTTAACGATCTCTAATTTCATCGATCATCCATCATAGAAACATCACACGATCCTTTCCCAAACATATCCGACGTCCACGTCGACGCAGCCCTCGGCGCGAACCCGAGCGTGCCCGACGGAATTATAGATTGATCGACATAGAAGGAAGCGTTTCGACTTGTAAGCCGTAAGAATCTGGAACGAGAACGTCCCGCATCATTCGACGCGCACGTCCGTAATCGGCGCGATACGCGGTGGGTATTAGCGCCTATTAATGATTAATTGACCGGTGCCGGGAGGCGCTTTACGTGTGTGAAGGTGCTACACGTTGGTAACAGCCACGCGAGAACGAGGGGGAGAAAGAGAGAAAGGTCGACCCGGGTCAGATCATGCCTCGCGCCGAATCGTTAGAAAGTCCATGCGCTCCGGGTCTCGCCGCGCCGCGCCGCGCTGCGTAGTACGTTCTGGGTTAAGGAAAAGATCCATCCATCGGGGCTCGATGGCACGTCCCGATTGCGAAGCGCATTGTTAGCGCGAGCGAGCGAGCGAGCGATGAAAAGGGTCCGCCGAGCAGTTGAGTCGGAAAACTCTTGCGCAATTGAAGATCTCAGAAGGACTTGGCCGATATCTCTTCAACAGCTCGCGTGAGCGCAAACATTCTAAATCCTTTTTCTGCCGGTAGCGGCTTACAGCAGTTCGTAATTTATCATGATTCATCGGCTATAATTTATTCGTAATAATTATCAATTTCATTACGTGACAAGAAAAACATAATTTTTAAATAACCAGGAGCTGAGAAGAATACGACTCTCGGCGACGGCAGACAATTAACGACCGTTTAACAACGTTTCACGAGTAGGTTCGAACAAGTTGGCGACTGGAAGTAAATAAGAAAGGTAAATAACCGTTCAAAACGACGAGTTTCTTTGGTCAACCTTCATCGTCTTGTTAAGACAAAATCCCGAATCGAATTCCTGATATCCATTCCTGAACGATCGACAAGCTTCGAACCGATAAAACGGGCGACGATGGAGAAGTATGCGTGGGACGGGAGGACACAGTATCCTTCGTGTATCCGCATTGCGGAAGACGTAGAGACCGCGATACACTTTCTAACGATCCGGACGAAGTAATCTTGTGCCGGTGCTTGACACGAAGGAGCGTTTATGTGTGCAAATGGTCGCTTTTTAAACTCTTCTCAGTCTTTCAGACTTACAAGCTGCTTTATATAATTATTACAACGTTCTTCCATTATATTATAAGTTTATAAAATAAGTTATCGTATCACTATGCATAAAATGCATCGCTTTAAATTGCCCTCATCGTGAGAATAAACAATCAGTCTTAATTAAGTACTTGAAGTTTCGCAGTGATCATTACTTTCATTTTTTTACTTTCGTAGTTTCACACCGGCTTGAACGAAAGTGAGCGCGCAATTCGCCGCAACATTGCAAGTCCGAATAAGGATCGCCGCTATAATTTGAGCTAATCTATGGAAAAGATCTCACTCTCACTGTTGATCGGCACTTTTTGCAAGATTAAAATCGATGCCATAATTCCGAGAGAATGTGCGTCTCTTTATTTACCGAGCCGAGCATCGAGATCGCGCTCTGTGCACTAAAAATTCATCGCGGTACATAATTTGATAGCGAATCGAACACAACACGAGATGTTCCGATGCAAATGGACGACCGACGAGATTGGCATGTACAGAGAATATAACGATTCTGCTTTATGAACCCGGAGCGATTTGTTTGGGTAGTTTCACTTTTATGTGTTTTAATGATCCGATATTGCGTATTCGCGTGATCTGCTATACCTGCATTCGTCGGCAGCTGCGAAGAGACATCTGCTCACACTCGCGCTCACATTAAATCGGACATTTATAACAAACGCAAACGCGTATATTGCCACATTAATTATCTTTACATGAGACAAAATTTATTCCTTATTTAACCTGATAAATTGATTGCAACATGGCTGACTCTACATTATACGTCAAGTATACTACTACCTATATTTTAAACTTTTTTTGAGAATCCAAATGTAACACATCAATTTGAAACAAAATTAAATCTTAAGTTGTTCGTATATTAATTCTTTTTTTTAAAGAAATTACTTCTTGTGATTGTTTCTTCATAAATACACGATAATAAATAATGTGTAAAAATAATTTTTTCAATAACGCAATCTAAATCCGGGACTTAAATGATTAATATACCGCGCGGAATTCATAAAATTCACTTGCGAAATCGTTATCAGAATTTATTTAGCGCGTGTATTGCTACAACGCGAGGAATATGACGGTATCAGGGTTCCTCTCGAACGCTGATCTTCGAGAAGTATAGCGGGGTCCCTGCAGGCATGTCAGTTTCGATTATACACGGCTATCGTTAGGCTCCGCTCAGGCGCGTGCTCGCTCGCGCGAACGCAAGTCGCCGGTCCTCGAAACGTCAGACTGTCACGGCCGTAAATTTTTGCGCAAGCGCCCACCTTTCTCTCTCTCTCCCCCGTCATGCATATTCATGAATACTCGAATGTAATCGAACGCTAAGCCGCGCGTAGAAGGAGACGGCAGGGTCCTCGAGTGCTTCGATCAGCCGTCGACTCGATTCAAGAATGACGAGGGCCAGCCACGAGAGCGCGTACACAGATAAGAGAGACTCAAGGACCGCCCCCTTCTCCTCCTGGCGTACCTCGTCGCGGAATACCGAGACGGCAGTGTACTTTATGCGATCTCCTCCCGAGACGACACGCACGACGGCGATTCTTATCTCGCGAAGGATACTCTTGCGCTGACGTGAAAAATGCGGCGCGATGATGTTCCCGAAACGCGACCCTTACGGTATCGCGACGCGATCGAATTTATCCGATTTATCGTGGTATTTGTCCTGAAAATTTCAGATATCGGCAGATCTTTTCGTTAAGGTGAGTATAATATATCGATGACCGCACGTAGCCGGACGTCAGCCATTTAATGCGAGAATTTATAAAGAGCCCGTCATCGATGCCTACGTTCACCTTAATTAATGACACGGAATATTCATCAGGTATAAAAAGAACGTTGTGTCGCATCTTCATTTCTTGCTGCGCACTGGCTTTCCGACGCTGAAGCGAGAGGAAACTGCGACTCTGACACGGATGAAAAATTTTTCTACCACGTTGCCCGTGGCGGTGCCATGGGTTCTCGCTCTCCGTCAGGTGTGAGTGAACGATGTGACAGCCGGAGGAATAACTTCTGTCACGAAGCCGAGGCGAGGAGTGGCGCGCGTTTCGCGGGCTCCGGCTCCGTGACACCGGCGATCCGCGAAGATCGTATCGCGCACCGCGCGAAATAAGCGTGTCGGGCTATCTGTAATTAATCAATTTGCGTCTACCAGGCCGGCAGCGCCCGATAATTACGGGCTCTCCGGTTTTATCGCGAATTATGAAACCATTCATCGTGCGGTTCCGGGCGCGCGCGGTTAAGGACGGGAGGCCATCCGGGAAAGTAGACCGCGCCCCAGTTTTGCGACGAAAGGTCGTTACCGCCGAGCGGTAATGGTGCGCTTCTTGAAGGAGGAAAAACGAGCGGAAGCAGCTTGAACGGGGCGGACGACTGTATAATCGCGGATAATTTCAGTGGACACTCGAAAACCCACGGGCCACGCCCACGAGACTTGGCCGACGTAACGCGAATGTCGAGCGAAACCGTAAAAACTATCATTGCGAGCGACCGCGAGCGGTACGATCGTGTGCGCGGACGCGTTTCGCCTCGGGACGATAAAGAAAGAGAGAAAAGGCGAGAGAAAGGACGGGAGAAGGAAGGGAGGAGAAAGTATAGACGCTACGAACTGAAGAGGGATGGTGGGCCCCGACGCTAGCTTCGAGGGGTCATTACAGAACTATCCTAGTTGGCGCGCCGTCTCTCCCTACTCGCTAATGCCAGACTGTCCGGATTGACTGATGTCAGGTCATTCAAAGCCTTCTAGATCGCCTCGTTGCCTCATTGACGTAGGAGTCGGGGAGATATTGCGCGACGGCGAGCATCGCGCGTCATTACGGCGTCGGCTTTCAAAAGCAATTAAAAATAGCGCGCGTTAACCGGCGCGATTCACGCGTGACGACCGTGTCGAATTATCCATTAGATTGTCTTTTTTACTTTGATGAATAAGCGGATTGTTGTGTGCTCGTTGTAAGTCATTAAACAACTTCTGAATAGCTTTCGCCTTTTTTAAATGCGCAGAAATTATTTTTCGAATAGAATTATCGCAAAAAAATGTGTGAGAAAATGGTCGCTTCTAATGAAAGTCGTTGCGTAATTTTGCGCCTCAATAACGTAGGCGTCAGCGCCATTAGATACACGAACAGAAGAGCGTTAATGACGTAGAGTCTGGGTAGTTTAATAATAAGAGCAATCGCCTAGAAAGCGTAAAGTCCTGGCGTCAATTTCCAGTCCAGTCATCCGCGTCTGATATTTTTTTCGCTCATGCATGCCCTTACAATAAAAATATTGAAATTTACTCGACACGTTCGATCGCGCACATGAACAGTGTGACGTAAATCATGACCAGGACGCATCTATCATCGCGATTTTTCCTCGCGGAAAACCGCAACGTGGTAAGAAAATTTCTCTGAACTCACCTGTGCGTACTCGGCGCAGATGTCGATCGACGAGACGTAATTGACGACGTCCTCGATGGTCCAGCGGTTCACGGCTTGCCCGTCGCCGCAAGGCATGTGGCCACAGAGCGACGGACACCTGACTGGCGGAGGTGTGGTCGGTCTCGCGGTAGATTTCGGCTTGGGAGACACGCTTTCGGATCTCCTTGTTTCCAGCCTCTGCCGCTTGCGAGGTGCGAAGCCACCGGGACTCGAGAGGTCCAAAGGACTCGTCACACCCGCGTCTCTTTTATTTGCGCCTGTGTTCCAAAGCAAGACAGAATGTTATTGCCTAATGTTTTTCGTTCATGCCAGATATAGACGCATAAGATAACATGTGGAATGCCTCGAGTTTTACACAGTATGTAATTTTCACTTGTAAATACTTTGATCAATCCAATACCAATTTTTTTCTTCATAAAAAAATATCGAGATATCCACTGTTTTTAAATATTAAATAATTTGAAAAATCCTAATTTTTAATTATTTAAATATTAGATAATTTGAAAAATAACACATTTCATAAAAATTAAGCCAAAACTCTGCAAATAGAAGATATAATTGTGACTTTTTTTTTTACTACAGAACAACATTTATCACTTTTTGCTTACTTTGTTAGAAATGTAAGAAATTCTTGTGTCACACTTACCTTTAAGATATGTCTCCAATTCCGCTGCGTTCTGGGCTGCGTTGGCAGTTCGTACCATGTGCAGAAGAGCCTGAGTGGACGACATATCGATCATAGGCGGAAACACGGGATTCCCGAAGAGACTTTCCTGCTTCTGCTCCTTTAAGTCTTTGTTGGAGAGCGGCGAGGTTGTGGGGACGGTCGGTGGCTGCGGAGCGCCTAAAGACGATATCAGACCAACGAACTGCGCCCCGGTCTTGAAGGTCGGAAACCTCGGATCTAAACCCGGAGAGTAACCGTTCCTCGGCGTGCTAAAGTATCTGAAATGATCAATTGATTTGTGATCGTAAACTTTCTATTACGTATAAGGAAAGGGTTCAGTAAAGTAGTACGATTATTATTGTACGTGCGCTTCAATCTTGCCCGGTCCACATCGAGAATATATTTCTCTTCAATCTTTTATTAGATATATAAAATGCTACTCTCCCATAATGTATAAAGATATAAATGACATTGCTATATTGCATCCGGTAATATCTTAAAACGACTCGACGTCAAACGATAGGATACGAAGTACGTTTCTCTTCAATTTCCAAATTCGATAGATCAACAACGCTGATTAAATATGGCAGGATGCAAACAGACGTGCAGTAAATTAGAGTGTCAAGCTTTCTCCTTCAAACGCCGACGATCGTGAGCACCGCTCTGCGTTTACTGCTTAAGTGAACAATTAAGTGTTCATCTGATCTGTTTCTAACCACTAGTGCCAGAAGGTACAAAGTTGAAAGTCAACGGACCCGCGAACGGGCAACCGGTTTTATGCGAGAGTACATCGAGTCTCTCGAGTACTCTTTGCGCCTTACGAATCTTAATCACTCGAATCATCTATTTGCAGCCTTCAAGTCTTAATTTTTTTTTTTCACGACAACCTCTCGCGGTCTTCGTCAATCGACGAAAGTCAATATACTCGTACGTTACGTCTCGGCAAAAATATTTGAAGACGTTTTCGAAATCCTTCTTCCTTAATTATACATTCTAAGACAAATTTATGATAGGATTGATATCAAACAACATTCGATATTTTGTTACATAATTAAATTTAAAAAAAATTTAAATAATGTTAATACTGTAGTTTTATATTTTTCTCATAAACAAATTTTTAATTGCATCAATTCTGTATTTTATTCATGGAAATCTAAGAAATTGAAAAGAAGTAAGAAAAAGTAGACGTACTCGTTGGGGTTGGTGTTGTTGTACTTGGCGGCGAGGCTCCTCATGAAATCGCTATAGTTTCGTCCCATCATATGCTCCACGTTCTTGAGATGATGATGAGACGGCAGTGGACCGTCGGGTCCACCTAAAGGTGTAGCATTCGGCGGCGTCCCCGGATGACTCGACGAAGGCGTCACACTCCTCGACGATGTCGAGTTATTGTCAGGCGTGAGTCGTTCCGTTTTAACCTGCAACGTGACACGAGCACCTTTTTTAAACGAGACCGTAACTGGATGCGATAACAGCGAGAAGAATGCGGAGCAATTAACCGACAATAAAGAGAACGAGTATAAGCGGAAGTGTTAATTAATAAGTGAGAGCGGCAGGTGTAAGAGAAGTACATTATTGCCGCATTCAACGCTGAAAGTAAAAACTAATATTACTTTCGTGCGTAAACTTTTCCTTATTAAATGTGCTCGATTAAAAATTCTCTGACAAATAACATTCTTCATTCTAATATTATTTTTCTTCGTTTTTAAATCTACTATTTTTAATTCTACAAAACAGTCCGTGTATATGTTTTAAAGACACGTACGGTTCATAAAATTAGAATTGTTAAGTCCTCACGTTGTTCAGCCATCGGCACGTGTACAAATTACTCATTTCACCTGATTTACGGCGACAATAATTTCACTATTTTTACTGCCGCTGCGTGTTCAAATGTTGAAGGCTGTGACACAAAAGTAATATGTTTTTTAAAGAATACTTTAGTCTCGCGTCGATACCGACTCTTTCTTGAAATTCTGGAAAGGTCGCTTTACTACGTTTAAAAGTATACATTTATGAAAAATGTGTAATAATTGAGGATTCATCAGTAAGCAGATAACTGGCCTTTTCAATTATCGCAATTAACTACGCATATAGCAAATGTTAATTATAAGTGATAGAAACAATGTAACAATAGACAATAAGACAACAAGACAATGAGATAAGACATATAATTATCGATGATGATTGTTGTTGCAAATTCTTATTCGAAGAGAAGAGATCTATTTCTCCATTGCGCCACCGATTACCACACGCTCGATATCACGCCCGCTCGCGCGACTATTTAACACTTAATAAACCGGCTTTATCCGCGTGCAAAAAAATCATTCCGCTCATCTCGCGATGGAATCGATGATGAACCACGCCTTCGACCGCGAGAAACACTCATCGGCAGCTGCAGCAGTGCGCGATACGTTTTCGCTCAGGCGAGATCCCGCGGAGGCAAGGAATATCTCGGGTGCATTAATTCCCGGGAACAGATTGCATCTGAGATATGGTAATGAAGGCAACGCGTGGCGTAAGAGTTGACTCCTCTCCTCGGCGCGGCGCGACGAGAGAGCGCGCGCCGTGACACCAAGAAGAACGAGAGTCGATTGGCGTAGAATAGGGTCCCCGAGAGCGCGGTCCGGGGACCGTAGCCGCGCTCTTGCAGAGGCCACGGTAAATCTCTTTCTCGCCTCCGGGCCTCTTCCTGACAGGGGACCGCTTCAGGCTCACGACGCGGACGAACTCGTATATATACTGCCTACGTTTCGAATGATCTCGGCGCGGTGCGACCGATAGACCGCCGGGTCTCGATAGAGAAAATACGCGAGAACGAGTCAGCTGTGAGAAATAACGATCGAGGCGAGGAAGCAAGGGAGCTCCGACGCGCAAAATTAAATCGATTGTTTCAATAAAACAGCTATCTGCTTGATTATGGAGCGATAAGTCATATATAAAAGATAAGTCAATATAAATAATGGGCATCATACATCAATTCTCACATGTAATTTTTATACGGAATAAAATATTATTTAATCTAAAATAAAATATATGATATCTATGTTTATAAGTAAGAGAAAATTAAATGCTTACAGTAGATATTTTTTCCTTGCAGATTTATTAAAAAAAAAAAAGACTATAAAAACTAACAAAGCAGCCGGATTACGTTCCGAAACTAGCATCTCGGTATCTGAATGTTAAATTTTAGAGTATTGTGTACACATAACGTTTTCTGTGCTAAAAAATTCCTCGTTATCAAGCACCTCTGATTTTTTTCTAAATAATTCCAGACGAGGAAGATTAATCCCTCTATTCTTATTCATCGACTCGTCTGATTCACTCCGGCAGATTTTCAATATCGAAAGTTAATAAGTCAGGATAAAGCTCGCTGTGCGTCGAGGGATTAATCTTTCGAGATGCTACTATTCTTCGAAGACCTCCCTATTCATATGGCCCGCGGACTTGAGCTAACAGCAATTCTTGCGCGTCACGGACCGGCCGTTCTTTCTAACGATGATCATCAATTTTTTTTTTATCATCGCAGTTCTAAGCGCTGCTAAGCAGACACCAAAGACTTCTCTTTCTCCCCCCCCTTTTTTTTTCTTTTTTCAGTCAAACCGTTTACAGAAGCGTTGAGCGGGTCGACGGATGTCGACGGCAGAATGACACTGCGGCTTTCGACGCGGTTGACATAGTTGCTGCATGCTTAGTTTTGAACGGGACTCCTCGTGTACACGTGTACGGGCTACCGCTCGAGCTCGACGGACTCTCTCGTCGAGGATATCTCTCCTCTGGCTGGCGCACGTGTCCCGTAGTGGTACATACGAACGCTCAAACACTCCACTTCACGGAAGAAGCGGTGGGTCTCTCTCGAAAAATTTATACGACAAATCTCGCATCCTCGCGGCAATGACTCCGTGTCGTTTTCTCTCTCTCTCTTTCTCTCCCTCCACGGAAAGAAAAAAAAATAAATAAAAATTCCGGACGACGTTTAGTCATGCTACGTAAATATATTAAGACGTGCGTTGTGTTTGCCTATATATGAATGGAAGTTTTGTGTGCACCGTGTCAAAATTTAATTCCAAACAACCGTCGTTTTCGGAAGTGGATGATTGAGCAAACGTAAACCGAGATATAATATGAAAATTAAATATATCAATTGCGCTGTTTATAAGAAAAATCGACACACCTCGATATTCATATAATTTCATGATATTTGACTTTACAAAATATTAATTTATAACATTTAAAACAGATTTTTCAAAATAATGGTTCTTGTACTACGATCTCGTAATTATATTTCTTTATCTCAGTGTAGTTCTTCATTAATATAGCATATGCGAAGTTATATTGAATCGCAAGACTTGCTTCAAGGTAATTTTCTTATAAACAGTGTAATTAATGAATAACTATGGGCCACTTTTCCCAACGTCTGTTAACTCTAACCGACTAGTAACTTTTCAGAATAGTCAACTTAAAACTCGAAACTTGTATATGTCGTCAATCCTAAAATCTTGGTATATTGATAAAAAGTGTATAGAAATTTGTAAAAAAAGATTTTACAATACTAACACCATATTATTATATTATACTGTTGCGCCCGTACTATTTCGCCGCTGATGCTGTGTGTGTTACAGCTGACGGACCGATCGATAATATCGATCGGTCATTAGAGAGTTGAAGCCAAATGGCATTTATTAATAATCTTTCTTATATTCGTTGTCAAGACAACGAATATTGATTAACAGTTTAAAGGGTCTCTATGACAGTTATAAACAAACTGTCATATGTCAGATCTGAGATAGCTGTCTGCTCGGGCGGACGTATACGACAGCTCCGGTCTTTAAATCATATTTCCGGTTTCTTATTGTAAGAGTTACTGTTGAGTTACTGTTCTTATTAAAGTGTTCTCTGTTTATTCGAAGTGTTGTGTTGTGTTGCTTAATTTCGTGAGTTTCGTTGTTGTGCGTGAAATACCGGTTCGCGGACGCAACAATACATAATATTTAGCTTATAAGAGAAATTTTCTCCTTCAATTGCAATATTTTATTCTTCATGTTGGCAATCCTCTAAGTTAGAGTTCGAGTTTCAAGTTGGCTATTCTGAAAAGTTACTAGTTATTGGAAAAAGTGGCCCTATAGAGCACAAAAAAGCCACTTGCAGAGAGAAAACAATTTCACTTACTTGAGTAGTGTCGAGACCATTCTGATTCTGCCGCCTTCTACCCCTCGGAGGTCTCGGGGTTGCCGCACCGGACAGGTGAGCGCCCTGAGGGCTCCCGCCCCTGGCGTCGACCGCTGTGTTTGCTGCCAGGGTGGTCCCGTTGTTGTTTTCCGTGTGCGTACCTAAATCCGCCGCCTCTCCACGGTCGCCGCCACGTGGTCCCGTGCCCGCGGATACGTTTTCGCCCGACACCTCACCTAAAAATGAAAAACATAATACGTAAAATCTCGATCCACTTGTAAAACGTATTAAAAATATTATTGGCTAATTGATATTAATTTCTTAGCGGCGATCGTGTTTGTCAGAATGGTATAAAAAAAGCTAGTCAATTGATGGATATAAATTATTCAAATTATGTTTATTGCGAGAGAGAGAGAGAGATATATATATGTATATAATGGAGAAATTATTTGTCCAAAAAAATATATTAAGAGATGTTCCGTATTTCAATGAATCGAGTATCTCTAAAATACATTTGTGATGATAGCTTAAAAGATTCAGTGCTAAAAGATTCAATAGTCAGGCAACAATCCTGTCAGAGTGCTCAATTCCAAATGCGAATCTCCGACGAAAAAATAAATTCGCCGTGAAAGATGGTTTAGAGTTTCGTAACGAGGCGGCAGTATCGTAAAGCTTCCTTAGCATCGCGCTTTGTAAACAGCCGTCTTTCGACACCGAAAATTCAGATAAAATACGTTGAAAGAAATGATTGCAGGAGCGCGATTGCACGGTGGCAGGAGCGTGCAATCGTATGCAAGATTTACGCTCAGTAAATGATTATCTTTTAGCTTGATCAGAGACGTGTATTTGATGATCAGAAGCGGCCGAAAAGCGATAGAGCAGATGCGAAGAACGGGGAGAGAGAATCGAGGGGGTCACTGTCCACTGCGGCTACCAAAGATGTCCGATAAATTTTTGTCATCATTAAACGCGCGGAATTTTATAGAGGCAGTAACTTGTCCACGCCGCCGAATTTGCTGTTCGATACGATCGGTCGCGATTAACGTTAACAGCGTGCCGGCAACGGTGCCAAGAGATTCGCATTTTTCTTTTTTCATTATAGCGCATCTTCGTATCACGCGACCAAACGGTTTCATCAACGAATAATTATTCCGCAGCGAATATTTTTTTAAACGGCTAATAATTTTTACTGATCGCGATTTACCGTGTATCGAAGCGTGCCGAAGTATAACCGATTTTAAATAAATTAAATCGTTTGTCGAATTTCTTTCGACTGCTGTCGATCGAAGATTGGCAAAAACAGAAATAGTATAAATTTTACACAGATGAAATTTCGCGTCAGCAGACATTTTCTGAGACATCTAAAGCGAAATTTATCGTTACGTTTTGCGCAGATAAATTTTATAACCAAAGTCAAACAGATCTTCAACCGTTTTGTTATCTGAATGCTATCGAAATATTCGCAATAGCGTAGAATAAATGTTTCAATACAAACGTTCCTGCAGTAAAACCGATAGTATCGGAAATATGCGCAAACGAATATTGTGATGATTTTTATAACGCCTAGAGTTAACACATTCGACGTACTCTCTCGACACGGTCGCTATCGCGCTACAATATTCTCCAATCCGGTTGTGGAAGCGATCTCGCGGCAGCATTGAATGGAACACAGACAAGAGAGTAGCGCTCGTAAAAGCCATTTCTATGACACTCACTGCCAAATGTCTTCATTATTTCAACTTAAAATATTTACAGCCACCCATAAAAATTCCATTAGACATCGTTTGCGATGCGGGGAAAACTATTCCCCGTCTCGCCGAGATGTTCGACGATACGTTCTACGCGTCTCGCTATAAAAGACGTCCCAATAGTTGTAAAATCGAAGAGTATGCGGCACTAAACACATTGTTCGATGTAGATTTAACCGCCAAGAAAAACGATCGAAACAATTAAATGAAACATTCGACGATAAGTCCTAAAAGACAATTTAATTAACTTTAACGAATGTCGACGAACGTACCATTTCAATAAATTTCGTCGGGTCAATGATTTGTGAACTATTAGACATTATAAAGTCTCTCCCAATTAAATATGCAGCAAAGCGAGGAATATAAAATATATGTTGATGAAAAGCGCAAATGCTATTTAATGAAGCTGTTGAAATCATGATGTGGCGGAATTTCTTACATATAAATTTCTTATTAATAGAAAAATAAAGAAGTCGTACACTGAGAAAAAGAAATCGAAATTCTTAGAAGCAAATGGTTATTTGTGACATTTCCCTCCATATTTATTTGTAATAAACAAATTTGATTGTGATAATTAAATATGTATTTCTGTAAAGTATATCTCATTTTTCTAATTAATTGTAAAAAAAATTTCGTTTATTTCTTGCTGAAAAAGTAAATTTATTTGAGACAAATTAACATTTTTTTATAGCAAATAATATTTAGTTACAATAAGATTGATTTGTATAGACAAATGATATTTATTTCTTAGAAACAAATCTTTATTTCTTTGAATTAAAGGTTTCCACTCTATGATATGCGTAACCAATATGGCTGCGGTGTGCATGCACAAGCACGTGCGTAGTGTGCTGAGTGAAGCAATAAATTATTTCTCGTGCTTCTTTTTAATTGTATTGTATTTCACTATGGAAGATAAAGTTGCAGAAGTGTTAAAATTGTTGCATTTAGAACGCTGGAGTGACAGTCTAATAAGTAAGTATGCAATATCTTATTTTTGTCTTATACTTATTATATTATCATCTGTCTTATTATATTATCATCATCATTAATTTCAATTTTTAGATAATGATATTTAGTATGATACTCTAAAATACATGGTTATTAATCGATGTCCAGAATTAAGTGATGTTATACCATCAATAGGTGCAAGAATTGCACTACAAAATTATTTTTCTAATTATGATGCAGACAAAGAAACAGAAACCTCTTCTCACATTTCTGTAGCTTCTGTTTCGACGCCTTCTGCGACTCCATCTCTGACACTTGCTCTTTCGCCACAAGAGATATTTGATGCAATAATCCGTTTTGATAAAGAATCAATAAATAGTGAATCATCTACAGAACATATTGAACCTAACATTCTAAAAACATCTAATTGTGATACTCAAAGTATTGTAATATTAAATTGTAGTTCTGATAATGAACCAGTGAAAAAGAAACAGAGGATTGAAACGGTGGACAATATGGTATGTACAGTTCTTCAGAACTTTAATTATAACAAGTGTCCATTTGCTAATATGGTTATATTTAAAGTATAATAATAAGGAACAAATGAAGAAATGTTTCAGAAAAACTGCATATAACATGCATGTTTCAATATATGATATGTAATAATATATGATAAATAAAGAATTAAACTATTCCGTACAGCATTTTGTATATTATTTATTAATATACAAGACATTAATTTATTAATATACAAAATGCAATACGGAATAGTTTAATTCTCTATTTATCATATATTATTACATATCATATATTGTATATTAATTAATATATTGTTAGTATATTGTTTTGTATTGTTTGTCATTTTATTTTGTTATATTGTCCAATAATTGATTCATTTATTTGATACATTTATCTTATATTATATTACAAGATAAAAAATCAATATAATTATTAATACTATATTTCTATTTTTTTATAAATATGTTTTCAATTCACTTTTTTTATTAGTTAGAAAACTTTGATTTAAAAGCATTGCTTCAAAAAACAGTAACTGGACAAGCTATTATAGCTTCATACGATGCAAGGAGTGGATTATCGCCAAGATGTCAACAGTATTTGGCAAATATTATTATCTGCCACTTTTTTGATAATAATATTAAGTAAGCATATATTCAAAAACTTCAAATGTATATTTATATACTTGTAGATGTTCGGTGTATATGTATACAAGAGTATGCATTATTCTTTTCTATTTTTTTTCGAAAATTTGTTTTACTAAATATGTTAATACGTTAATATCCACCTTTGCAAAATTATTTATAATATATAATAAAATAACAAATATAATGAGAAAAATATAATAAAAATATAATGAAATGTAATAAAAAATAATATTATTTCTTTTGTAACAATACTTCCTTTTTCAGTGTTCAATTAAACAATGAAATATTGAACAAAATTGCGGATCATATAATTACTCTCTTTCCGGCTGAATGTAAGGAAATATATTATTGTCCACCAGTAAGAAAGAAAGATTCAAAAAATGAGAAATCTGGTATTGCAAAAGGAAAACTAATTGATAAAAATCGAAATATGTTAGCATTTTTAAGGAAATGTCAATTGATTGCATTGAATAAATCAACACATAATTTTAATGAAGAAAAAATTGTTAATGAAGGTTCGTGTAAATAACATTTTATAATTTATTTTATACAATACTGGACAAAATAAATCATACACCTTTC